ATTTACTTATGAACCTAGACAATATTAGAATATGTATAATAAATTTATGATTATGAATAAGAAAAATTAAATGTTTACATTATTATTGCCAAAAAGCAGCTGAGATGTGCCAGAAATTAAAATAATATAAAATACAGTGTATGTATGGCAGATTGAATGATACACATATGAACATGATATGACAAATTGATTCACTCAAAATATGAAATTAAGTATTAATCAGGGCCAGTTAGTAGAAAAATTTAAAAATTTAGTAGAAAAATACGCGCGCACGTCTTAGGGGACGCCAACACAAGATTCGGATATTAAATTTTCAATAAAGTTTTTTTTTAATATATAATTTCTTTGCATCTTTTACTAATCTTTCCTTAATATTTACAAAATTCGTAAAAATTTCACTTTATAACAACCAAATGGGAAAGTAGAGATGAATACATAAAATTCGGCCCTTATGATATCGATTAGGAAAGTTTAAAAAAAAAAAATATCAATTTTAGATATTTAATAATTAAAAATAATTTAATTAATCTGACATGAAGTACCAGTGTTATGTTATGGTTATGGTTATATTATAACGTTTTAAAGACTTTAATTTCCTATATAGTGTGGGAATTGAGACTCACCATTTTTTTAAAGCAGTTCTACATTTAACAATCGCTCATATTATAAATGTATATGCATTTTGGCGTTAAGAGTAATTTAAAACAATAATAATTATTATTAATAATAATAATTGGCAGTGTCAAATCTCCGACAAAATAGAAAAAAATTGAAGACTATCACTAATATGCAGATATTGAGTTCGTTATTAAAAAATAAATCATTAGTTATTAAGGAAGAAGATAGTTGGAGTTAGAAAATAGTTTTGGTTGTTGGTTTAAGTATTATTTCAAAAGTGTAAATTTATTTTTTTTTTCTTACCTGAACTTCTAAAGCGTGGTATGCTACAATTAATCCAAGTAATATCACAGTTGAAACGGAGATCAAAGTTTTCAGAGCCATCGAATAGAATGAAGCCTGAAACAAAAAAAATATATATGAAAAATAATTTTTTTACTTATGTGATATATACTAGCTGGCCCTGGCTTTTTATTATATTCAGGTGAACATCAATCAGCAATGCAAACGAGCAACGGAGGTCCCAAAATTTCATTTACCAGACTAAGTTTTCTACCAATTTTATTAATACAACAACTAAGATGAAACCATTGAATTTCAGAAACATTCTTTACAACAAAAAAAACTAGTGATAAATTTGTATATAAGTTTTAAAATAAATTACTAATAATCCCCGACGACAATGCATATAATAATAAAACGATGGTAAATAAAAAAATCGTTTTAAAAAAATCAATTTAAAAACAGAATTTTGATAAAATATCATGTGTACGAGTATATAATAATTTTAGATTGTTGGATATGTTCATTAAGTATTAAGGTAAGTTTAATAATTATAAATTATTATAATCAAGTGTATAAATACGTAAATGTAATTTATTCGAAAATGAAGTGGTTGATATGGTAAAAACGGATCCCTTTTCAGGTCTAATGCAAACTTTCTCAACATTACGGATTATAGAAAAATTCCAAATTCTGTATATATTAGTCTGTATATTTATAAATTGCCATACCTCCCAAACAGCGGTATAATAATTTTTATATTATATTTTTAAATTTAGAATTTTTAGAATTCAGTAAGTTGCGAGACTAAGAACACCAAGGGCGTATTCCTACTGTAGAAGCATGAGTTTTGGCCGGTTTTTGAAGCGCTGTATAAAGGAAACAAATTATATTTTTACTATCGATTTTTTATGATTTGTTTATTGATATTTTATTATTACATAAAAAAATTATTAAAAAAAAAATAATTAAAATTCACAAAGTTATGAGCAGTCAAAGTGGGGGTTCCCAAAAAAAGAGGGTGTCCTGGCGTACATGATTCCAACCCTCCTGGTGATTTGAAACATAAAAAATAGATGGATTCTTAATTATTATAGATGCCGCTATCGTATGAACCTTGGATAAGTTAAAAAAAAAATTTTTGTTTGAATGGCGACAGTTTGAAAAAAAAATTTTTTTCATGTTTTTTTTAACAATTCCGAATTTTTTAAAAATACTAAATGAAAAGTTATAGTTTTGGGAAAGGTCCATGCGATAAAGCGATGTATGGAGAAGATCCTCTCCAAATTTGAAGTAAATCGGTTCATTAGAACTCGAGATATCCTTACCGCCAGCTCGAAAAAAGTAGTTCCGAGAAAAACGCGTTCAAAGTTTTGAGACTCGGTCGGACCCGAACCGAGGCTACGTCACTAAAACGGCTATAACTCAGGAAATAATAGTGATTTTGAAACATCCTTTCAATGACATATTTCTGAATAACTAAACTTTGAAAATATGAAAAAAAAAATTTTTCGATTTTTTCAAAATTCTACAGTAGAATACCCCCTTAAGAAATTCAGCTCGCAAAAGTTACTCAAACATTTAATAAAATTTATAGTTCTATGTCTATTGTCGCATAGTGCACACAATCGTTTAAAAGTGCAGTAATTAATTTTTTATGAAGTGATAACGGCAAAGGCAGCAGTAAGGTGTAATCGACGCCTTAACGGATATTTTAGATATTTAATACCGAGATAAAATTTCTTATAGAAAAAATAATATTTATAAATTAAATCTTATATCTTATCTTATAAGTCTTATCTCATCTTATCTTATAATCTTATATAAATTCGCATTTCTTATACACTAACACCTACATCATAGGTTCCTATTCGTGTATTTCTATAGCCTTACGTTGCATTCTATACTACATGCCTTACATCTATACCATGCGCTATATTTCATCACATACTCTCAAATCCCTACATTGTATACCGAATACACCTAACCTATATCTACTATATATCCTATTACCTATATTTTTTTTACACGCTACATTAACCCTACCGAGAATCGAACCCGGGTCCGCCGCGTGGAACGCGACGACCTTAACCACTACACCACCGTAACCCCTACGATCAATCGTTTTTCTTCGCGCCTCGTCGCGACGCCTTAGTATTAATTACCCAATTAATTAGAAAATGAACCGCGGAAACAACAGTGCAGTCCTAATAATATTATTAGTGGGGGTAGCCGATAGAGTAGTGGTTAAGGTGCGCGACTTCCACGCGGAGGTCCCGGGTTCAATTCCCGGTATAGACAATAGATAATATATATAATAGGTAGAGATAATACATAGGGCGTAAGGTAAACCTATATAATATAGGTGAATATATAAATTAGACAGTAGTATTTATAAGAAGTAAAAGGTATGTAGGTATATAATAAGTTAATGACGGTATAGATATCTCACGGTATGATAGATAATAGATATCTATCTATGATATAAAATAATATAATATAGTATGATAGGTAATAGGTTATCATATTATTAGGTTAAGTCTTATAAAGTATTGTAATAAATCTTGAGTACGTTTATATCATAATAAATACATGTAGGTATTAATGAATACAAATAATACCAGAATAAATATAATTAATGTCATTGAAGAATATAAATTATGTACTCAATGATTCCCTCATACTTGTACAATTTAATGTATAGACTAGCTGTATATAATAGAGTTAATTATATAATAAGTCAATATATTACATTTGTGAGGTCTTATCGAAATATATCAAATTTTTTGAACCGGATTTTAAATTTTAGCGTTCCGGCAAAAAAAATATTAGCACAACACCACTGTATATATATATATATATATATATATATATATAGCTAAAAAACAATTTCTCTGAAAGTTTCAGCGCTTAATATTAACGTTTAGATAGAGCGCAATTCAATCAAACTTTGTATGGAAAGAGCATGGAAAAATTTTTGAAAATTAAAAAAAAAATGTTTTAGGTGTAACTTAGCGATAAATGAATGAGTTTTATTCATTCAATTGTTCACTAAATTACATCTAAAAAACATTCTTAAAATTTTTGAAAATTTTTTCATGCTACTTCCATACAAAACTTTGATTGAATTGCGCTCTATCTAAACGTTAATATTAAGAGCTAAAACTTTCAGAGAATTATTTTTTATCTATTTGGAACCATTTGAGCCCCTGGGAGCAAGGAAATTCGAAAATGACCATTTTAAGGACCACCCTAATATATATATATATATATATAATTTATTTCATGTATATATTTGTTTATTCTTGTATCCAATATCATTGAAAGCAAACGTAAGTTCAAGTAAGTATTAAATATATGTATTTCATATAAATTGTACTGATTTATTTACCAAAGAAAAAAGTGAAAAAGTTTATATCTGCATTTTTTTTAAAAAAATGCCGATTCTAAGATTTTATCAAAACATCTGATATTCGTTGCAAATTTGCTACAAATTAATTAATATATATTACAGAAGCAAAAATAAAACTTTATAAAATTATCTCCCCAATGAATAAACAAATATAGAAGTGTATCTTAAATTTTTTGGCTTCAGTTATTTCTTTTTTATTCATATATCATAAAAAAAATCTGACAAAATTTTAATTGAAAATTTATTAATTGAAACATCAATCATCTCCAGATGTGATTTTAGGTAAGTATTGATTAAATCAAAACGATCTATAAAATTATATCGGTGCCAAATCATGTTATATAATTTCTGAAATTATAATTATTTATAGATAGTAAATTATTTTTTGTGAAGTGTATTTGGGAAATCTTACATGAAGGATTTTGGATAAATTTACAAATACATAGAGGTGATAAAATATGGTAAAAAAAATTTCAAATTGATATAAATATTTCTATAAATCGCTAACGTTGCAATAAATTCAAATTACTGTATTGATGGTAAAATATCGATTTTTTTAAATTTTAAGTATATTTGGCAAAAAGCAAATGCACCAGAAGTTTGTAAATTAATGAAAATAAAATGTAATAAAAATATGTTTAGTATAAAAATAACTAACTAGTTACAAATGTAAAGTATCAAATCATAAATCTGTATAAAAGAATTTCATATATAGGATATACACTATTCTATTAATTTATTTCTCCACCGTCAATCAGTCCACAATTCATCATCGATGTTGATTCAATATCGAAATTACTATTTTAATCAGTTGTTGTTTTTGTTTCGAACGACTCTCGATTCGCACTTAATCGCACAAATAAACTCGAGCAATAAATTTGAGTAAATCATTTGGAATGAAAAACATCTGTTGACTAACGATGGATTTTATGTCCGAGGCATAATAAAAGTGGGAAGGGCAATTAATTTCTTGCAAGTTGTAAATTAAATCTGTGCGGAAATAGACACAGTTAGAAATGTCGTTTATTTAATAATTTATTAACAAATTTGATTCATGCAACGATAAAATTTTTACTTGTATTTTGTATTTTTGGTGGCAGCGGTTGGATCTATTATCTTATATATAAAAATGAATCGCAAAATGTGTTGATAAGCACATAACTCAACAACGCCTGGACCGATTTGGCCAATTATTTTTTAAAATGTTCGTTGAAGTCCAAGGATGGTTCTTACGGCGAGAAAAAATCGAATAATTGCCGGGGAAAACCCTAAAAACAGCCCTTTTTCTTTTTCTCATACAAACGTTTGCGAACTAAAACGTAGAATCAATTTGAGCTTTATTGCTATTATATAAAGTTCATATTAAATTACAAGCATTCACTGTATACTCCTTCTAAACAATTATTCGAATTTTGATAAATCCTTCTGAAATTTGTTAAGAAAATTTTCTAGGATGTATGTGATTATAAAGTACTGGGATGTATGTGCAATATTGTTGAAATAAATGGAAAAAATTGCAAAAAACGATATGTCATTGTTTGCATTGAAAATAAATGAAAACTATCACCTGCCAAAAATTTCAATTTACCCATGAACCTAGACAATGTTAGAATATGTATAATAAATTTGATTATGAATAGGAAAAATAAAATGTCTGCATTATTATTGCCAAAAAGCAGCTGAGATGTGCCAGAAATTAAAATATAAAATACAGTATATGTATGGCAGATTGAATTATACACATATGAAAAAATACGATAAATTTATTCACTTAAAATATGAAATTAAGTATTAATCAGACGTTTAAAACGATGCATGCGAAAAATACGAGCGCACGCCTTAGGGGGCGCCAACACAAGATTTCGATATTAAATTTTCAATATAGTTTTTTTTCAATATATAATTTCTTTGCATCTTTTACTGATCTTTCCACAATATTTTTAAAATTCACAAAAATTTTACTTTAGAACAACAAATGGGAAAGTAGAGATGAATACATACAATTCGGTCCTCACGATATCGATTAGAAGAAGTTTAAGATGCAATTTTGGATATCTTAAATAATAAAAAATTCAATTATTTAATCCAACATGAAGTAAAAGTGTTATGTTATGGTTATGGTTATGTTATACCGTTTAAAAGACATCAATTTTCAATATAGTGTGGAAATTGAGATTCATCATTTTATTTAAAGCAGTTCTACATTTAACATCGCTCATATTATAAATGTATATGCATTTTGGCATGAAGAGTAATTTAAAAAACAATAATTATTATTTTTAGGTAAACGGTGAATATTAGTACATTATATTAAAAAATTGTAGACATGGGTACAGGACAACGTCTCTCGGGTCATCTGCTTATATAATATTTTTCTTTACATTTTCTCAGTTTTCCGAGCTTTTCCTTTATCGCAGTGCGACAATAATAATAATAATACCCGACTCGGCGCCCTACTGTCGCCAATTTCGTTAAAAAGCCGCAAACAATTTGCATAATTGCTAAATGAGAGCTATAGCTGCAACTGTTTCCACACTATTTTTCTGATAACAGACTAAGACCGAGGAAAGTTTATATTAATTTAGGAAAATAAATAAATCATTCTGAAGAAATGGTAAAGAGATTAAATGGGCGTTGGGAGAGTATGAGAATTCTGATAAAATGTAAAAAATAATTCATTATAAATTAAGAATATTTAAATGATTTAACAATTGAAGCAAAACAGTGCACTCAAAAAATGCAAAAAAAAAATGTCAGTCATATGTGTCTGACGCTAAAATCACTGACGTGTTTCATTTATATATATACATATATATATATATATATATATATATATATATATATATATACTAGCTGACCCGGCAAACGTTGTTCTGCCAAGTGAGGTATATTCTAAACAATTTCTAGAGACTCAAAAATATTAATAATTTAAGTGAATAAGGCTGTGTCGTTTGAATGCTATATACAATGAGGTATTATATAAAACAATAAACCCTATTAGTTTGTCTACATTTTGTCAATACAATCAAACTGGAAGATTTATACACTTTCTATAAGAAACAGTATATTCCATCCAAGTCTTTTCTGGTCTTTCGACTTATTGATTACGTTTCAAGTTTTTCAGATTCTTTTTGGATTCTGGATTGTATAATTGTGAATAATACTAATGAGCTTATATAAAATTTTCAAATTTCTGCGAGGATAGATAGAAAATGAATTAAATGTTTTTTCTTTGACCTGCTTTTTGAAAAGTTTCAAGTAAAATTCGATGAATTAAAGTAAATTTAATAAAAAGTATATATATATGTAGAGCAGGGCGAGGCACAATGGTCCAATTTGACTTTGAGCAAATATATAAACTATATTGTGAAAACCAAACCAATTATATCACAACAAATAACACATTTCAAACGAACAATTATCTGACTATTTTCAGTAAAACTGTCAGCTACTTCATCATTGTAGAAATGTGCTTTTTGATGTCTTTCAAAAAATTGTAATCTAAACCTTTTTACCCCATAGACGGGGTAACTTGAAGAGGCTAGGTGGCAAACAGGATTAATGTCTCATTTTAATTTTAAAGGTATTTTACAAAATAATTACATTTTTAACTAATGCTAAAAAACTGCCAATGGAAAAAAATACTTTTATTATGGATTTTCAAAGATTACCGTTTTCAAATCAAGGTTATAGCTGGATATACATTTTTTCCCTTTACTTTCAAATATTGTTGTTAAACAATGCCTAACTTTACTGATTTTTGACACATCGGTGGTGGACCTTTTTAACCCCGGACCTTCATATATTACTATCTATTCTTCGATAAATTCTGAGAAATTATAACTGGGAAAATGATAATCGACAAAATGTCCATTTGATCGATACCAAATTTAGGTTCTGAATTTAAATAACATAAATAAAAAATAATATAGCCTAGAAAATGTTTTATAAATATCAATGAGTTAATAATTATACAAATGAGATCTTTCAGAGCACCGTGTTTGAGAAAAATATGCTAAAAAGTGAATTTTTATATTAACATTTCAAAAAAGTTGATATTGTTGAGTTTGTAGTGACACGTGCGGCCCTATTACATGATTTTACTGAATTGCAAATTTATAGCTGTTTTGTATGAAATATGTGTGATTTCATATTTTTATAATTTAGTACACGTATTAAGAAATAACATACTCGTAGCCCTAGTATAACGTTTTATATTTCTAAATATTTTTCAAAATACTCATCAAACCGTGTACTTGCAACTATTGGAAACTAGATGCGCAAGAGTGCATTTGTTCACAAAATTGCACGTTTATAGCTTTTTTTGTTAGAAACATATGTGGTTTTATATTTTTATAATTGAGTACATATATTAGATAATAACATACTAAAATTTTATAGCTCTAGTATAATATTGTATATTTTTAAAACATTTTTCAAAAGTGCTTCTCATATCATATCCAACCGTCGTTTCGCAACTAATAAAAATAGAGTATGCAAGTGTGTATTGCATTTTTTTAGAAAATCTTCTGTTAGAAACATATTTGATTTTATATTTTTATAATTCTTCTTTACTAACGTTTTTGTGTATAAATATAACTACAAACAAAACTACTTACTACAATCTAATCAAAATTAAACTAGTGGGGTGGGTGGCATCGTGCCTTAAGGCAAATTGCTGGAACTTCCCGTACCGTAACGAAACGTTCGAGGAATATTGAATGTTTTCAAATAGATTATTATAAATATTGTATTATTGTCTAATATTTATAATAATTATATAAACTGAATTGCAGAGTTGAAATTATTTGTTTAAAGTATATTAGAACTATAGTCAGAAATAAAAATAAAATCTGAATTATTTTCGATATACAAAAAATTAAAAAAAAAAAAAAAAAAAAAAAAAAAATGGTTCAAAATTTTTTTTCCAAAATCAATTATTTTGTTAAGACAAGCAAAAAGTTCTTTGAATCAATTGAATCGGACGCTTAGTTCTCTCAAAAACTGCCATTTTTTGTACATTTAGCTCTGTATCTCCGAAATGACTGGGCCTGCCTTTGCGAAAAACTAATTACCCCTTTTCCCAATCATTACTAATGGAATGTTTTTTAGATCATTCAAATCGGATGCTCCGTTCTCTCAAAAACTCGATTTCTATTTTCTGCACTCTTTGCTCCTTATCTCCGTAACTGCTGGACCTGTCTTTGCCAAAAACTAATCAGCTCTTCTCCTTATTAATAGGAATCAAATGTTTTTTAAACCATTCAAATCCATACATACATACACACACACACACACACACACACACACATCCATTTTTTCTGAGGTATGCCAAAACGTTCAGAAACCTTCAAAACGTCGAGAAATGTAAAAATTTTCAATTCCGATTTTCGGCTCATTACAATAACTTACCCTACGGGAAGTTAATAATATTCACTTAAAACATCCTATCAAACGTAATTGAACATCATCTGTTAAAAACGTTTGACGTATTAGCCACCGTCCATTGTTTTATTCAAATTACGCTTCTACAAAAATGTTCAAATTGAAAATGTAAAGTTTGTACGCGATTTCGAAATAATATCTCACCTTTCCGACAACCTACTGATTAGCACGAATTTTTCAAGACTAGGACTGGCCAAATCGGTTTAGCCGTTTTCGAGTTTTAGCGGATCATTTGATCGAGAGCTCCATTTATATATATAAGATATATATATATATATATATATATATATACACACATAAATCCTTTACCATCCCTTACCTTATTGTATACCCCCGCGCTGGACAGCTCGTTCTCGATGACCATGACGATGATGCCGAACATGCCCATGACGAGGGCGTAGTCGCTGATCCTCTTCCTCTTCTCGAAGAGGGCTTTCCTTCGGCCGAGGCGATAGCCGACGTTGGGCTTGTGCCTGCTGCCGGCGCTCGAGGGCGCTGTGCCGGGGCCCTTGAGGGCGCCGCCGCCGAGGCCGCGCTCCTCCATGAAGCGCGGGTACTCGCTATGAACACCTGAAAGAAAAAGATAGATGGTAATTGTATAGGTATGTATATATATATATATATATATATATATATACTAGCTGACCCGACAGACGTTGTTCTGTACCCACGTCTACAATTTTACAATATTTTATACTAATATTTACTGCTTAGTTAATAATAATAATTACTGTTTTTTGAATTACTATTTACACCAATATATGAGTTGAATGTAGAACTGTTTCAAACAAAATGATTGTTCTCAATTCCCACAGTTAACACTTTAATTATTCATTTAACAAATATTAAAAAATGTTCAATAAAATTGTATATTAAAAATTTTACACTGCGATATATAGAACAAATTTCCAATAGCTCAATTTATTTTATTGCATTCAAGGGTTATATAGTATTTTTAGTCATACCTGTAGATGTGGATGTATAAATAAATGATTTTTTGTTTATTCACGACTAAAACATCGATTTTCCAAATTTATCACACTAAAAATGATCGTCTGCCTTTGTGATTTATGTCACAGCATAAGATACACGTGTTGAAAATTGAAATCTTTTAAAAAGTACAACAAATTCAGAAAGAATTAATATATAGCATTCGCGGCAAAGGTGCAATATCACCTTTTATTTTTTTACCCAAAATATATGCTTCAATAATGTTGCCTATAATTTTTATAATTTCGTACCATATTTTAACTGTCTTTTAGTAATTTTAATATCTAAATTACATTTTTTTCTCCAATAAATAAATATACATTATTGCTTAAGTTTATATTTGAAGTGAATTAATTTGTCAAATCCTGTTCACATGTGCTCTATTCAACTTACAATCAACAAAATTATTGCTCTGTGATTTTTTTTACTGTGCTCCAATTTACTTGATATTTTGGAAATAGGCTAATCTTTATCTTAATTTCAATGTTTTTAACAATTTGCACTCCGTCACCATCCACAGCATTAATTGGATTATAACTCTTTTAATTCTGATTTTATCAGAACTTGTAATACACTATTTTAAAGGTGATTAAATGAGCTACAACTTTCTCTATCATTAATTTTACCGTAACTTCTCTTATTGTAAAACGGCGATGGGTTAAAGGGCTCGAAAGACCTCTGGTTGGACAGCTCCATAATTAATCATACATCTATCAATATTTGTGTAACGAAAAAATAATAAACAATAATAATTAGTCAGAAAAATACCTCGAATTTTCTTATATATATACTTTTATACGTATTCTTTCAGAGGTATTATGATGAGAAATTGGTTGTTTTTTTTTAAATGTTTTTTTTTTTCATGAAATCATGAGTTTTTTGAGAATCATTTGTACTAAAGTTGTGGTATTTTCTAGAATCCATCAAGATCTCTTAAACCAAGTTAATTCTAGATGGAATACGATTATTTTTAAATTTGGTGGAAATGGCACTGAAAAACTATTTGATTTAAATGAAAAAACATTGTATGCGTCCTTTATCTGCATGATAGCTTACTCATTTTACACGCAGAAGTACTCATTTTCAAGCTTATTTTGAGCACTATAAAAACCCATTTTCATATCTAGCCTAATAATGTTCCTAAAACACTATAAAATAACGATTTATTAAGATTTTAATTAATATAATTCTGTTCATTACATGATTTTCGTTAAAATGTATATTTTTGAAGGTGTTAGCAAAAAATGATGAAAAACGCAAAAAAGAAACAAATATTCAGTAGCCAGTAACTTGAAAAGTATTTCCTTTTTTGAAAAACATTATTAAATATTTTTCTCGTGTAATTAGTTCTTTTATCGATACCCAACGTTATTTTGAAGAAAAGAAAAAAGAAATGTCATCCACCCGAGAAGTGGTAAAGGAGTCTAAATTGTTTTCACTTCTGAAGAGTAAGATGAACCTAGTTCCAAAATTCCAAACAAATTGGAAAATAGTAAAAACTTCAGACCCAAAGCGCTCCATTGGGTAAATATTCCGTACCCAATGACAAACATATGCATTTTTGACACAATGAAACTTCTAAATAATTTTTTTGTATTGTGACTTAGTATAGTAAGGCAAAACGACTGCAAATTGAATATGTTTGAGCGCAATCACTTATGGCTCGCTCCTTTGCGCGAATTCGTACGGCGAATCTGTTCGCAAAGTGCGCAAATAAAATTATTGCAAGCAAAAGCAAACACACGCGCACGTCAGACGCATGCGCAGACTGCATCACTTGTCAAATGCTTGTTATATTATTTGCATCTTATATTAATTTAATTTTTGGCACATCTCAGCTGCTTTTCGGCATTAATAATGTAGACATTACATTCTCCTTATTCATAATTATGAATTTATTATATTCTAATATGGCCTTAGCCTATAAGTGAATAGAAATGTTTGGCAAATGACAGTCTTCAATTGTTTTTAATGTCAAACTAAGCTTCAAATATTTTCAAGGGCAAACAATGATAAGCGGTTTTTTGTAATTTTTTCTATTTATTTCTACAATTTAACTATACTTCTATGAATCAAAACATTCTAAAAAATTTCCCGAACAAACTTCAGGAAGATTCATGAAAATCCGAATTATAGTTTAGGAGGAAATATGAAACTTACATTGTTACAGAAGAATTTTATATATAAGATATATAATATGCTATTCTTCATATTCTTAGTACTAACTTCACTAAATAGTGGTAAAGTCACAAACGTGACTTGGGTCAGTTTCAATTTTGTTAGATACTATTATGATAAAAATTAAAATCTTATTTGCTGGAGTTATTTTTTTGCTACTGTGGGATCATAGTAGACTGCAGATCAAATCGAAACAAAAGCAAAAATGACATGTCATAATATTTATTTTTGTAAACAAATATTTTATAATAATTTTTTTTATAGATCAATTAATCGTTTTTACACGCTGCATTAAGTGTTACATCAAAAAAGAACTAAAATACTTATTTCAATATTTTCAACAATGTTTGATCGATTCTTTGAAATGATGCAAAAATTTGACAATTTCAAACAAGGTTCAAGCATTCGATTTGTTTTGTTTTTAAAAAAAGTTGGGTGTTGTGAAAAAAATTTATTGCTTCAAAATAATTCGATACTTAGATAAAAAGTTCGATGTCGGTGCTTCCAATGGATGACAGTGCTTTCTATTAAGTTCGATATTTTAAAAAAAGTTCAGCGCAAAAATATTTATTTTTGGTGTTCCATGGTTTTGAGAATGTTTATTGCTTCCAAAGAAATTTAGAAGTTTAGAGTTTCTAAAGAAGTTTAAGTTTCCAACGAAATTTTGTACATTCAAACAGTGCATTCAAAAAAGTTTACTGTGACCAAAAAAGTTCGGTGATTTCAACAAAGTCGACGGCTTTCAAATAGAAACAATGATTTCAATGAAGTGAAGTGCTTTTAAGAAGGTTTAGTACTTTCAAATAAAAACAGTGCTATCAATGAAGTATAGTGCTTTCAGAGAAGTGCATTGATCTCAGAAATGCACAATATTGCAGTGCTTTTAAAGAAGTACAGTTTTTAAAGAAGAAAAGTGTAGTGCTTTCACCAATATACAGTGCTTTCAAAAAAAGAGTGTGCTTTCAAAATATATACAGTGCTTTTTATAGAGTGCAGTTTTTCCTATAAAGTGCAATTCTTTCTAAAGAGTGCAGTTCTTTCTAGAGAGTACAGTTCTTTCTAAAGAGTGAAGTTCTGGTTAAAAAGTGCAGGGCCTTGCTTTATAAAATTGCAGTGCTTTGGAAGAAGTGCAGTGCTTTGGAAAAAGTGCAGTGCTTTGCTTTATAAAATTGCAGTCCTTTATTTAAAAAAAAAATGTATAATGCAATCAAATGCATTGCAATGCATTTTCAGAATTGCGGTGCATTCTCAAAAATAGCCCTTTCTGAAAAATAGAGTGCGTTCTCAAAAATACAGTGCTTCATCAAAAATACAGTGCTTTCTTAAAATACAGTGCTTCCTAAAAAATATAAAATTTTGAAAAGTGCAAAAATTTAAGAAGTTTCCTTAAAATACAGGATCTTAAAAAAAGTCCAGTGCTTTAAAAAAAATGCTTTTCTTTCAAAAATGTATAGTACATTTAAAGACGTGCAGTGCTTTAAAACTAGTGGGGCGCATGGCATCGTGCCTTAAGGCAAATTGCTGGTACTTCCTGTACCAAAATTTTTTTTTTAAAGATTAAAATTTTTGAAAAACATTTGCTCTGAAAAATTAGATTTTTTAAAAAACTATAAATTTTCGACAAAAATTTACATTTTTTTGTAAAAAAGACTTGTATTTTGAAATATTTTGGAAATTTTGAACTTATTTTCAAAGCAATCGTACTGCTTTAACTGCATAGTCGCCGTCTAACGGATAAGCATTGGTACGGAACCCATAGGAATGAAAACAAAATTTATACTTATTGTTAAAATCTCTGTAAAATATCTGAAAATTTGATGTGCATATGCCTAATGATCATTTTTTGGTAGCAAAATAGCATTTTTTTTTACTTTTTTCATTAGATCTCCGAAACCGCTAGACCTGCCTTTATGAAAATTTGATCAATTCTTTATCTTGTCAATGCAAGTAAAATGTTTTTTGAATTATTAAAATTGGACGCTCCGTTCTCTTAAAAACCGTGTTACTATTTTTGGAACTTTTTGCCCCGTATCTTCGGAACGGCTAGACCTGCCTTCGCCAAAAACTAATCAGCCCGTCTCCTTATCAATACGAATCGAATGCTTTTGAATTATTCAAATTGCTTCGTCCGTGTTCCCGAAATCGTCGACGAAAATTTGTATCCGCACATACATACACACACGCACACACACACACACACACACACATACATCCATTTTTTCTAAGGTATGCCAAAATATTCAGAAACCTTTGAAACGTCGAGAAATGCAAAAAATTTTATTTTCGATTTTTTGCGATTACTATAACTTACCTTACGGGAAGTTAAAAATTTAGTCGAATGAAGAAATGATACAAGTCAAAGTACAAATCGTAATACAAAAATATAGTTTTGAAAAGTTCGAAATTCGCTATAATACGTATATGGTCCTCGAAGACAACTATATCGAATAAAAAAAAAAGAAATTTGTCAAAAAACGTGTTTTTCTCAGATAGCCTTAGAACTTTTCATCCGAAGTGTTAAGTTTAGAATTTTAATTTCTAGATATAATTTTCAATATTGGCAAATGGCAAATATTTTTCCTTCGCTCACCTACTAACGCTACGCCGGCCTCGTCCTGCAGCGCGTTGCCTGCCGCTGCCGCCGCCTGAGCTGCCGCCGCCGCCGCCGCTGTGTTTCCGTACAGCAGTGCCGTCGTCGCGGTCGAATTATTATTGTTGGCATTCGATGCGTTGTTGTTCTGGCCGGACCCATCTCGCAGGCAGCCCGATGCTCTCATAGCACCAGGTATCGAGAGCGTTGACACGGGCTTGCGGAGCTGGAAAATAATAGATAATGGAAATATTATAATAGATTATATGATATATAATATATATAATAGTAAAACTTCTTTAGACGCGACTAGGGTGTAAGTCCCTACAAATGCAACGAAAATAGCGTTACGCCCGTACTGTACTGTACGTCATTCTGATATGTGCCGACACTCTTATCTATTTACCGTCACATTTATGCCTCTATGTGCATACTACCACATTTATTACTCTATGGACTCTACATCTCTTGAGTTCCACTCTACATTTTATGGACTCTATATTTCCGGCTGGACAGAGAACCTCTACAATTATCAGAAGGGCACACTCTCTCTCTGGACGTCAAAAAGAACACTTAACCTTATAATAATCTTTAATGAAGTTCTGTATAATAATATCTGTACTCTGTAATAAATCTATAAAACTTGTGTTGTGTTTTAAAATACCAAAAATTACCTTCATCGCTGAAGGCAAATCCTTAACAATTCGCTCTCGATGATATTATTTCTATACGGGTCGATTGTGATCAGTCGTCGCATATGTGAATAGAGATCTGTCGTTGTATGCGTACCGATATCAACAAGGAAATCGGCATAGATAAGTAAACATTTTAAAGTTACATCGTAGTACAAATCTTGTTTCAATGAAAAATGCCTGAATCAGAAGAGTATTTTACCCTGTTCCTTGAAAATAATAAAACAAACTAGTGGTGTATAGCATCGTACCTTAAGGCAAATTTTTGGAATTTCCCATATAAAAACTAGTTGGTTTGGTATTTAGCCTTGAGACAAGTTACATGAACTTCCCGATATGTTTAGATAATCGACTTAATCAATAAAAAATAAATTCATTTATGAGTGATTAAAAGTATTCCGAGTGGATTTATCACACATAATTGAAAACGAACGAACACGTTAACTCGGAGTATTTTCTAAAAGCAAATTTTCACAAATAAATAATTGTTATAATTGAACCAGTTTCCGTATGACATTAATGGTTTAGTATGTTCATTAAGACCGAGTACTCTATCGTTATAGCAAGTAAATCGTCTAACTTTAATTTTAACAAATGTCTAAAAAACTACTCATTTTCTCAAACTTTGATGAATTTTTAAAATTAAACTACTTGTCGTAAGGCCGTAATATTTCAGTAAGTTCTATAAGACAATAATATATATCGCCAAAAAAAAATTTCATAAAAATCTACTTAATTTTTTTTCAACAGTTAATTACAAGAAAACGGCTCGGTAGATTTTCACCTAAAACTAATCAGAATCAGTCCCAACCAATATCTTTCGAATAGTTTTTGATTTTTTAAAATCGATTCAGTAGGATGAGCTTAAATGTAGACAAAAAGTTTATTTTTCTTTTAAATTTATCGTCATAATTGGTCATCTTAATATCGTTTGGCAATTCGTTATATATTTTGCTAGCACTCCATATGACATTTTCTCTCAAATTCTTTTTTCTATTGCGTTCAATGTGAAAATTGTTGTGTTGTCTAGTGTAGTGTTCATGTATATCTTGATTTATGTCTATTGTTGCGCTTGTTTTAATTCGGTTAAATTTCATTTTGTGTATTAGTTTGCATTTCTCTATTTTAATTACAGTATTCAAAGTCTAACACACTTTTCCAAATTACAAAGAAATGACTCGGCCGATCGTCGCACAAAACTGACAAACAATAGTCCTCATCGAAATACATCAAATGGTTACCAATTTTTGCAAACTTTGACGAATATTTATAGCTAAACTAGTTGTCGTAGGGCGGAAATATTTTAATATGATCTAGAAAACTATAGTATCTACCGTCCAAAAAATAATAATAATAACTGTCGAATTTTTTTTAAACTTTATTACAAGAAAACGGCCCGGCCGATCTCTACCAAAAACTAATCAGCACGATTCCCAATCAATATCTTTCGAACGGTTTTTAAATTTTCAAAATCGATTCAGATTTGCGGGCTAAAACGAGGATTGAAGAAAGTAATAATTTTTTTTTAAATTTTCTGCGATTTATAAAGAAACGACTCGGCCGATCGTTGCACAACAGAAACGCTAGTTCTCATCAAAATACATCGAATGGCTTTTAAATTTTTGAAATCGATCCAGCCATTTTTGAAAAAAACGCCGATTTACGGCAAAAAATCTGTTCATACACACGCACACACACACATACTTTTTCCAAAGTTTGTCTCATTCGATTCAAAATGGCTTGAAACGTCGAAAAAACATAAAATTAGCGAATCGGGTTTTCTGATGAAAACATAAACTTCTCCTTCGGGAAGTTAAAAAAACATTTTGCTTGAGTGAACGGTGTGCAAAAAATGCTTCTACAGAAAATTTCGTAATTTTGAAAATTTTCAAATAAAAAATTCAAGATTTTCGAAATTTTTCATCATTTTCAAGAAAAACCTAAATTTTGAAAAATTTAAAAAAATATCAAAATTAAAAAAAAAAGATTTCTTACAAAAATTAATATTCCAAAATTAAAAAAAAAAACGAATGATTTCAAGTTCTCAAAAAATTTAAAACAAATTCCAAAAAATTTCATACTTCTAAAGAAAACTTCAAAATTTTGAAAAAAAATCTAAATTATCAAAAAAAATCCAATTAAAAAAAAAGAAAAAAATTCTTATAATAGTTGTTTGTAGAATACGCTCGTCGCCTAGTTTAAAAACCACTTATAATTTTACAGTATGTTTTTATAATTTTTTTTTTATAATAAATTATTGATTATTTTCATTTCTCGAAATGTTTAATTACGGTACGAGAAGTTCCAGCAATTTGCCTTAAGGCACGATGCCATGCGCCCCACTGGTTTCTATATTATTTGTAGTTTCTATGAATCTTTGAAGTTATTAAAATGGAAAATATTTTTTAGGCAAGACAGATATTACAGCTGTTCAAAGAATGAGATTATATCGCTAGCAAAATAGTAAAAAAAAATACAAGCAGTCAATAAATGTATATTAATTTTAATTACATGAAGTTCTTAAATATTTTCTTAGGCATTGTTTAATATAATCCACTGTGTGAATGAATATTATAGGATTTATTAATCAGTAATTACTTCATTTCTCTAATAAAGGTTCATTTCTAAATGCTAATTACCATAACAAACCGATCATGTTATATTTGAAGTATGACTTTAACTACATTATTGTTTTTGAATATTATAAATATTTTTAAAAGCTATTATAAATATAAATGTATAATTTATCATTATATAAATGCGTATAATGATTGACGACACTAATAAATGTGTGCATCACGAGTGTTACCATATTACTAATAAACACTATTCAAAATTGTTATATGATGTATTTATTTTTAACATAAATGCCATAGTAATATAAAACACACATATATATATATATATATATATATATATATATATGAGTTTATATATGTTTGTCTATTATTCCTCAGGTCAGATTTACAACTTGGGTTGTTGTTTGACCCAATTGCAACCATTACTTCTCTTGGCCGGATCAAAACTTTATTTCTCCACCTTACTGTCGTCTGTTGTATTTAGTTTTTCCTGTTGCAATTTTCTTCCAGTTTATTTTTCTTCCATTTTATTATTTCCGGGAATGTCTGTGGAAATTATTATTATTTGCACTGACGACATTTCATAACTAATATTAGGTGTAATAAAATTTCCTTGGCTGCGATAGTAGATGTGATAATAAGTTTGATGCAAAGTTTCTTTACGAGGAGGGTAGATAAATAAATTATGAAATGTTGTTAAAGTTTAAGTATTATTGCATTTGGTTTTATTAGCATAGTTTTAATTTCATTGTAGAAATGGAAATTGTGAGACTTTTCTATGTAGTACGGTGAAGACTTGGTGTCACGTAAGAAACAGAAAATTTTCCTTTAGAACTCTTCTCAGGGATTTAGAAACTCTTTGTACTATGTAGATTAGTAAAAATCTAAAAATTATTTTTAATGACATTTTTGTTGCATAATTTCATCCTTTTCTCACAAATTTAATTTCCAGTTCTATCATTTTCTATCCCCCATTGTTTTCTATAATTTAATTCTGTTTCCCTATTATTACTATTAATAATAAAAAGTACCTCTAGTGCGAGAGAGTGCTTTTCTCTAATGAAATTGATACAATTTCATATTCGGTTCGGTTTCATTTCAGATAGTATAAACAGCCGGAAAATTCATAACAAAGAATAGAAAATTAATTCCGGCTCTCATCTCATCTCCACCATTGTTTTCTTTAATGAAAATTCTGCGCTATTCGAAAGCTGCGGATAGTGCAAAAGCTGGGGGTAAAATAGATAATTTTTTTTTTTTTTATTTACTGAGATATTTCTATTTTCGCTATTTTATTGACTTCCGTAGGGTAAGTTATTGTAATCGTCCAAAAATCAAAATTATTTTTTTTACATATCTTCACGTTTCAGAGGTTTCTGAACATTTTGGTATACCTGAAACAAAAATTAATATGTGTGTGTGCATGTATGTGTGGATATAATTTTTCGTTCACGATTGCAAAGCTATAAAGAAATGCAATAAATGGCAATTTAAAGAGAACGAAACATTTGACATAAAAAATTAAAAAAAAACATTATACTAGCAATAACAAAATGAAGATTTTTTTACGACATTCTTATTAGATTCTCTCTACAATTTGATTAAATTTTTTCTAGAATTTTGCTAGATTTTTTGTTAAATCCTCATTCGAAATGTACTGGATTTTTATTAGATTTTTATGACATTATTAATAGATTCTTTCTAGAGTCTGGTTAGATTCAGTTCTAAATCTTGTTTGATTCTTCATTTGATCTTTAGTAGGTTCTTATTTAAATTTTATCAGATCCTTATGATTTCTTTATTAGATTTTTTCCGGAATTTTGCTAGACTGTTTATTAGATTTTTTAGATTTTTATTAGAGCCTTATAGCATTCTCATAACTTTCTTTCCAGAACCTGGCTAAATTCTTTCCAGAATCATGTTA